TTATAATAATAATAATATCACTTTTTAACAATAAATAAACAAATGTGCCCCACATAATCTCAAGTTGGAAACAAGCAAACCACGTGACAAAAAGCTCATTACAAAATGTTTTCCAAACAGATTTTACAGTCAAACATTGACATGGAAATCAATTTCCTCTCTTATCTTCTTATTGAATGTTGGTCAATAACTGGGTACAAGTAGAGTGCTGAGGTAAAACACTGATGAACAGTTTTATTTTTGTATTTTTTCTTTAAAATAGTAACAGTTTAGTATTGCGAGATTGTCAGCAACATTTAGCCATATCTATACAATGTGCATATACCTACATACATTGAGCTTTGGTCCAGCATTGAGAAGACGAGCAAAGGCATTTTACATATTTCTTTTTGGTTATAGCTTGAGTTCTTTGATACGCCTCTACTTGTTCCTTCCTAGCTCCTTTTTGCTTCCTTGTTCTCTCTTTTTCTTTTACTTTTTTTTTTCTTTTTTCTTTTTTTTTCAGTAACAACATAAAGAAATTGGAACCACTTGAATGCATTTGATTTCTTCAACTGTCCAAAACAGCTTTTTAGTGATAAACAGAAAAAGACGAAATCAGAACAGTAAGTGAACCCTTGGTTCATTTTTCAAATAATACTTTTATATATGTATTTAAAAAAAATCAGTGATCAATAAATTGGAAAACCATTAAACCTTCACATATGACTGAAGAGACTTCTGTTTCTTTTGCTGGTAGCAATCTATCTTTTAGTCACATGCAAAATTAAAAGGTATTCAAATGTTATCAATACATGAAAATTGTTCGCAAATGGAAACCAGAAATGTTGCCAGTAACAGAATAAAACAAAATACTTATGGCCCCCCAAAGATGTATGACTCACACGTAATTTATCTTCCTAAGAATCTGTTCAGGCACCATTTATGCCTCATAGCAAAAATTTGTTTATAAAAAAATTAATATAAGAAGCATTACAACACTTTATAAATAATTTACAAAACATAATACAAAATTAGAAAACTGTAAAAAAAATCACTGCACATGAATGGTTTTAAGACTGTGGGATGAACATTATTTTTTCTTCCAAGCTGGCGATTTATATTTATTTTACATTTTCACTGTCCTAGTTATATCCTTCCGATACGTACTTTGGAACAGAAAAGACCTTATATAACTGCTGCCAGCATATTTTTAAACATTTAGTATCTTTCATACACTGTTTAGTTAACTTTTCTTCTTGGGGGACTTTTCTTCACGGAATTTAGAGCAGTCCCTAGGAGAATTGGAAATTTAGTTTTTAGGCAAAGAATGGTTGATGGTTTTTTGTTCCCAGGCTGTTGATTATGGGGATAGAGCAGGGGAGGGTACGGCCTTAAGGATGTCTGAAAAAGTAATTGTAAATTGAACTGTGGCCACGAATTTAGAGCTGTTTGGTATATATAATGGATATTTCTGTGGATGTAGGTATCTATGGAGAGAGAGAGTAAAAAGAAAACCCAGAGGAGCAGTTGTTGCCCTGAGACTCTCTTTACTTTACATGCTCAGCTTGGGTAAAGCACCTTTTTCGTCCCTCACAATTTGCCTGTGGTTGCTAAGGTGTTTTTTCCCCCAGCAGTTATTTATATATCAACAGTTGGAAAAGAGTCAATAACAATTCTCACTCTACTCCTCATAAAAGCAGTACTGAAAATATCCTTAAACATAGCCTGCTGAAGCTTAAAGCCTAAAATGCATTTGCTGGACGTGAGCCCAGCCTGGAGTACTGGCTCCTCAGTGCTCTGTAACCCTGACCTTTGAAAGTGCTCACATTTAGAAAGAGTTTCTGGCCCAGATGATGGTCTCTGAAATCTTAAAACTCCACCAACCATGCTGCAAATACCCAAGTCTACAAGGCAAATCCCATTAGTAAAATAGTGAGGGCCAGACTCAAAGCCTAGTGAAACCAATGGAAGCCTGCTTCTTTCACTAAGTTTTGAATATGGCTTTGAGTTCTTGAAAACTCAGTAATAAGAGGTGTTACTTGAAGACTCCAGCACTTCAGGAACTTCCTTCAATGTCCTGGGTACACCTGCAAAAATCCAGTACAATCATCCTGAGGTCAGGGAATGCAATCAGGAGTTATATCAGCAGAATTTTACGCTACCATCTCTACAGTGAGCTGAACCAAGTCCCTGATATTATCTTTTGGGAAGACCTGATCAAGATGCAGTTTCTACCTTAACAGTGGGCTGAACCCCAAAGATTGGTGCAGAATTCAGCAGAAGATGAAAATTTCAGAACACCTTCATGGGTCAGCCCATACCTCATCAAGAACCTGCAACACCTTGTTCTCCCTCTGAGCATCAGTATACTTGTAGGTCCAATGACCACAGTATTTTAGGAGATGCTTGTCCAACCAAAAAGGAAGCCACAGCGGTAAACTCTCTTTAAAGGAAAATCAGTTCACCTGAAACATATTGCAGGTGACCCACCTTATATTCCCAAGTGATGTTCAACAGATTTCCCTATATCCAAATTGCTTTGTCTAGCCAGTGGCCACAGCAAATATCTGCAGAAACACATCTGCTTACTGAAGAAATCAACAGGGCAAGCATCGCTATCAGGATGACATAAAAAAGGGCAGAAGGAACAAAGTGCTACCATCGAAACAGTCCATGCGATGTAATGATCAAAACATCCTCATCACTTCTCGGTCTGTCCATTTGTTTTCATCAGAATCTCAAGAAATTTCTTTGGCTAGCAGACTTTGGAGAGAAATTGCTTCAAACAGAACCATAATATAGATGCAGTACTGAACCAAGTGTGCAGTTTATATTTATACTACAAAATGAGTTTTGGTAACCTCTCCAGGTTCATGGCCAAAGGACAAAGAAATCCCAAGCTACACATTTGACAAAAAGCACAATGTTCAGTGTGGGCTCACAGTCCATCAGACATAATCCTAATCCTTCTTTGTCCTCTATTGCATTTCAGCAGATCAATATAAAAGTGTTCAGATTTCACTTTTCTTTTTAAAAGTCTTCAAACAGTATTGGGTTATGTGGGCTTGGGGAAGGGGTGGAGAATGAGCTGGAAGGGAGGAGGCAGCAAATACAATCAGAAAAAAAAAGAAAAAGAAATGCAAATCAAGACATACACTCAGAAGAGAAATGTCAAACCCCACAAACCACAATAGGAAGAAATTATTTTTGACACCTAAACACTTGGAAACTGCAAAACCGTTGACTAAAAGAAAAGGAGGTGACCACTATGGAATGGCTTTAACACCTGTTGGTACACACCTGCAGGAGGTACGAACAAGGATGAGAGAAATTAATCCTGTTTTTTTCCTCTTTCCAAAATACAAATGTAAAAATTCGTAACACAATTTTACACTCATAAAGGAGTAGACTAACAATCTAGTTTGCAATGCCATGTTTCTGACTTTGGTTAATAGTTTTCATAGTGAATCAGCACTTGATACCTGAAAGGCTACAATCACTCCTCCAGGTGGCAGGCTTGTATTCTCTTTTAAGCAGATAAAAGTTTTTTTCTTTTTTCTTTTTTTTTTTTTGTTTGTTTTGTTTTTCCTTAAAATGTGTTCATATTTTCATAATATACAGAAAAAAAAGTAATCAGTTATTTGGTTTACTTTAAGTCCATTTAAAAAAACTGGCTTTTTCTCTTTTTTTTTTGGAACTAATTCTACGACACACACACACTAAGTGTTGTGTATTTTTTGTTTTGTTTTTTTTTTTTAAATAGGAAAACCCACTGACATTTATAAACTGTTCTGTCCTTCTTGTAGTTTTCTCAGTCTTTTACTTACAAGGGTGATGAATAGGTATTTTCACAGAGTTCAAATGGTTATATTTCTGTTGGTGCAGGGTTTTTTTGTTGTGTGGGGTTTTGTTTGTTTTGTTTTTAGGAGTTTTCTTCCAGAGAGTCTGTTAAAGGCTCCATAGGAACTGCTGTCGCAGGCTCATGTTGTTTCAAACGTTTAATTGTGTTCTTCAGTGCTTGCCTCTTATTGCAGAACCAAACTCTAACTACTTCCCGGTCATAGTTGAGTTTCTCTGCAATCTCTGTCATTTCTTGCCCTGAGGGATGTGTGTTCTTCTCAAAGTGGGCATTCAAGATTTCAAGAGCTTGTGGCGTGAATGAGGTACGCCTCTTGCGCTTTTTGGAGGGTTCGCTTCCGATAAACTCGGTAAGGTTCTGCATACCTGCTCGATGGCGGGCCTCAGCCTCAGCCATCCACCGCTCAAGCACCGGCTTTATCTTCTGGGCACTTTTAGGGGTGATGTCCAGCTTTTCAAACCTGGCAGGATACAAAAGGCCAGGGTTCAGTTTGGCTGTCAGACTGCTAGCTATAGTGTTCTCTTGGGCTTCCTGTGGTAGGAAAAAGTGGCTTCTCAGGATGGTGTGTCTGAGGGAAAATTGAGAAAGAAGAGTCTTACACTGATGCTCTGCCAGGGTGGGACTTCCTGCCTGCCTGACTAATTTACTGGCAGAGGTAATTTACAATGGGTTATGAAAACTGTCAGATAGGTATATCTATAAATTATATATATATAGCTAGATATTTAAGCTAACACAAAATGAGCACTACAACAAAATTCTAAGTACACTAAATAACACAGGTTATGAGTAACATTTTCATATTTCTGATGATCTTCAAAACCCTTGAGACTAAATCTAATTACAGGAAATGACATCAAAGGCAATTGCTGTTTAGCATATCATTTCTGTGATTAATCCTTTTATTTTCCCTTCCATCCCATGTTGTCCAAACACCACAGCTTTAATAATACAAACCAATGGCTGTTACTAGTCTCTGAATATCAAGTTTCCTTTCCTTTCATTTTTTCAGCAATTTTCACTGTTTGTGAGTTAATGCTATATCCCTTTCCTGGGTTGGAAAAAGATTCCCATAGCCACAGTGGTGCTCAGCTGAAACAGCTGGACACTTTGCAATTATCTTGACTGCCCCCACAATGTGCGAAGACAGACTCATGTTTTCCAGATGAAACCCAGCATAATAGTCTACTAATATGCTGTGGCACCAAGCTGAGTTTATTGTGGGATTTCTGCAAACTGTACCAGAATGATATCATTTCCTGTAAATGAGGTCTTCTATATAACATTTTGCCATCAAAAGTCTTTTGCCAAACCAGATTTTACAAGTATTATAAAACATCTGGAAAAGCAGCCACACAAAGCTTTAATCCTTTCAAAAACACAAAGAGGTGAGTTCACATTTCAAGTCTTGTAAGTAACTGTCTCTTTCATTTACTGAGTGCATCCTCTTCTACTACACATTTTAAAAGTCTTAACCCAAGTTCTGTGGTGCCACTCATTCATATTTCCCCACTTTGCTCTGTTCACTCTGCACGTTGTGGTATTTAATGCTGCAGAAAGGCAACAATTATTGTGTTGCTGCTGCGCTCTCCAGCCCAGCCAGTGCTGAAGCACCACTGCCACCACTAATCACACTGTGCTCTGGAAATGGGACTGACCAAATCAATGTCTTTATGCAAAGAAACTTGGGGACCAGAGTTGGTCATTTTTAGTGTCTTTGTTCAGCATGTGGAGGCAGCAGAAAATATTCCAGCAAGAAACAAAGCATTTCTCATAAACAAAGTATAAGACAAGGAATAATTTCAGATAACAACACTCCAAAGAGTTTGTATCTGGTGCCTGAGATCCTAATGTGCTATTGTCTGCAAGGCATCATTCTTTGGTGTCCAGAGATATTTCAGGCTGGAGAATATGTTTTAAAATGTATTGTCTCAAGTTAAAGAAAATGCCATTATTTGCATGCAGAAACATATCCCCAAGCAGGTATATTGCTCATATGACCTGCATAGGCTACCAAGAGACTCTATTTTGTCTTTGAGTTGGTCATTCTTGCTTGCCTTACTGCCCCTTCCATTACACCCCAAAGTGGTATCCAACTGGGGTGGGCAAAGGAAATTAAAAAACCCGTAACCTTGCAAATGTTTGAGACCAGCATGTGCACCCGTTCCTCATGTTCTGAGTAATTTGCCCCTCTAAGGAGCACCCTGTAAAAAGTCTCACCATCCCCAGTGTTTTCTCAGGTGTGGTGTAGAAAATGAGAAGACAGCAAACTAGACAAAAGCAAAGAAAAACACAACACATCCCTTTTAAGTATACTATGTTAAACAATAACTTCAGATTACAAAAATATTGTCAATTGCTAAAAACTCCACCCATTTTAGGCATTCTTTACCAATTGACCACAGGGAAGAAAAAAAAATAAAAATAAATTCTAGCAATAGGGAGCAATGGTGTTCATATCATTGGCATTGCTTGTTAGTGTTGGTACTGCAGTACATGTTGTTTGGTATAACGATATACAAGTCTTGAAACAAATTTCCCAGCAGTGGTATCCTTGTATAGACTGAATAAAGGTTATTTTCTACAGGGAGGTATCTTATAAGAAAAAACAGTAGGGGAGACCATAGAAGTGAGAGGATCCTATGGAGTTTTTTGTATTTAACAACAATCAATGGGTTTTATGGAAAATCATTGAGCAAAATGTGAGCTGCAAGCTCACTACCCCATACTGATGTTATTTATAACCTTAGTCTTTAACTGCAGGAAAAGTACACTTCCGTTCTATGGGGAATACATTAAAAGTATAAAGAGCAGATAAAAAGACAGAGCATTTCATGGATCACCAAGAACAAAATCCACTTAAATGAGCTTAGAGTTGGTTTCTTGGCTTTCACTGATGGAGAATGACTATAAGGCATTGCCCAAGAGGAAAAAGCTGTTACCTAAGTGTGTTTGTTACCTCATGCATAAACATGGGATTGCTGTAACACACATACATGCATATAAGGCATTTGCTTCTAACTAGTTTAACTCTGTCAAGACTGTATTATGATTTCCTATGATTAGGACAGATTTCTGCTTTGCATACGAGGGTTTGTCTGTTTTGGTTTTGTTTTGCTTTTTTTTTTTCTTTTTCTTTTTTTTTTTTTTTTTTGTAAACATTTGGGTGATAAAAGATGAATAGCTGCTGATTTGCAAGATAGCAGGAAGGCTGGTTTTTTCCCTTCTGTTACCTAGGTAAATCATCTTTAACATCCTATATGTGAAGTGCTAACCACAGTAATACAGGTTTTAACTTAGCAGGGATGCAGCCATGAAATATTTGTTCAGTAACCCTATCTGTAGAAAATGGCACAGTATGAAGAGGGTCAGCTGGTGCTTATCCAGCATCAGCAGGGTCTCCAGCTCATCTACTGAATTAAGTCTCAATGCCAGGAACATTGTTTCTCACTTGTTTAAAAAAGGAGAAAAAAAAAAAAAGACAAATGTTACTGTAAGGGTACACAATAAGAACATTTTATCTGTCAGATGCAACATTATTGGCTAATTTAAATCTCAGAGTAAATAATGCACTCTAAAGACATGAGACTTAAACATAAGCATGCTCCTCACAATAAGCTGAATAATTAGTAAGAACAAAGAGAGGAGAGTTTATGATGTAACTTGTTACCTGCAGATGGCAGACTGGCTATAGGCTGGGCCTTCGGTGGCGCTTAGGGCTTGGCCAACTTGAGTCTGTGTCAGGCCAAGGGACAGGCGTCGGATTTTAAAAGCTTTGGCAAATTCTCGGATTTCTTCCAGATTCACCCCATCCACCTCTCCAGTGGCAGTTTGAGGATCTGTTGAGATATTTTTTTAATCATGTCAGTTCTTTGCATCACATATCAGTGTGATAGACTTACACCAACTTTCATGGTCAGGATGTTCAAATTCAATTGTTTTGAACACTGATTCCTTTCTCTTCTTCCCCAAACAGAAACAGACTTGCATTGTCAGGTGCATTATGAAGCATGTTCAGATTACTAAAATGCTAACTAGGCTGCAGTGTTTCCAGGTGCTACTAGAAGATTTTTCAAGGACATACACTGAACTCCTGAAAGTGGCTGGCTCACCTCAGAGTGAGTGAGTGCCTGGGCTCCTCACTGCCATTCATGCCTTTCAAAATACTTCCTGGGTTGAAAAGTCATGTTCCCAGTTTCACCTTCTTATCACTTAGAGAAAAAAAGTGATAAGAAATGTTAACATATTTATTTCTAGTCTGTGGGGAGGACTAAATATGTGCATGAACTGCTTGGGTTTTTAACTTGAAATCAAGACTTTCTGCTTTTTCTAAAATTAGTGCCAAATAAGGAGATTCACAACCGTTCCTTCTCTCTCCTACAATATCCAATCCAAATGCCCAAAATAACCCAGAAAATGAACAAGCCAAAATGAAATGATGCCTTTAAAACATCCAGAATTTAAAAAAATCATCTTTTAAAATAAGCCCTTCTGAGAAGCACACTTTCAAGCTTTCCATTCTGACTCCCATCAGGTTGATAATCTAGGAGCAGAAACATGGGTTTTGGAAGATAATGCTGCACAGTTTTTTACGTTTACATTAGCCCCTCAGAAGATAATGCTTATGATGCTGTGAGGATAAATCTGTCCTTCCTCTCTATAGCAGTTTACTGACACAGAAGCCTTTGTCCCTGAAAGGGCACATAATAAAGCATGTCTACCACAGGAAAGCTCCTTTGGAGCTGGATAACTCAGTCAATTTAGGACTTATCAAGGGAAATGACACAACAGCTGGAGAATGGAACTTTTCCCCCCCCCAAGCTACTGATCCCTGGCTAAATGAAAGTGTTTGCCAAGTCAGAGACAGCATGGGACTGGGATGGTGGAAGATTTCAAAGCATTGTGCAATCCTGCGTGTAGTGAAGCCATTCTCCCAGTGAGATATCTCTATTGTTCTTCACCTCATTCCTGAGACTTCTGAGGTGAAAAGTTTGCAGCACAATAACCCCTCAATTTCTGTAAATGCAAGCAGTTGTCCAATGACAGTACTAGAGTGCATTACTATTCTGAACCCTATATGAGAGTGACTCCTGCTAGTATGGCTATAGCTGAGGGCTTATCAGCATTGCAGTAGCAAAGATTTTATTTTCAGAGGTTTATAAGCCTGATGCAAAATTCCCTTATGATGGAAACATCTTTTAAAAACCCCTTTTCTTCCAATAATAGACAGAGGCAAGAGGGTTTTCTGATATATAAATTTAGCCTATATCCATTTTTTGCTTGAGTGTAACAAGCACATACAACAATAATTTTTTTAAAATTCTTGTGTATGCAACCGGGGACCACATGAATTGTGCATACAGGCAAACATGCACAAAGGCTGAGCCTAGATTTGACAATGCTCCACACTCAGAATCATCTCTCCTGTTCTCAGTGCTGTACTTGAGCTCATCTGTACAGATGTGCACGCACTCATCCAGTATAAAGCTAGGCTGCATATTTTTTGCATTTAAGTAGCTCATGCTATTATAGTGACCACTCAGGTGTATAAAGTAACTGCCTTTAGAGGTGTAAAATTTTCCTACTTACCCTCTACACAGTCTATATAGCATATCAATTCTGATTTTCAGAAACACAGAATGGAGCTGACTATTGCCTGCCCTTTAGGACTCTGAAGAGCAACTGATAAATGTAAAAGGCACCATAAATGATACTGGCCTCAAAAATTCACTTGAGTAAAGTAGACCAAGATGGTGACTGTCCTCACCTCTTTCCTTCCTTCACTTTAAGGGTTCTAACTAAGGCTGTCAGGGATATGACAAAGGACAATTCAGGTGTTCCTAGAGAACTTTCCAAGCAGTAAATGCTGTGGCATCTGCCACTTGTAATCCTTCCCAACTCCTGTTAGGAATAAAAGGGAAGTAAGAAAACTAAGGGGCTATTTGCTCACACATGATTATGGAAAAATTCTGCCAAGTTCTGCTGGATCCTTCTAGTATGGCACTGTTGCAACAGTGAGTATCATGGAAAGACCTTTCCTGCTTGGGGGGCTTGGATGAGGGTAAAACTAGGCTCAGTTTTCCTTGAGATTAGAAAAAAATCTGTGATGCACTTCAGAAATATGGGAGTAGATAAACTGGTGCTTTTTAAATTAAGTGGATATCCTAAGGAAGGGCAACAGGAAAATAAAGAATACCAATTTCATTGAGTGGTTGGGAACTACAGTAACAGCATTTCAAGACTGTTGTACAGTGTGTACATTTTTGCATGAGAAAATAATGGCTGTTGTGTATATGAAATTACTGGGTGCTGGAGAAAGTTGGGAGAGTTGTCTGGGATCATTTCAGGAGATCAGTGTATGTAACTCATAACAAAAAGAAGACAGCTAAAATTCCACCAGTTGTCCTGGTGGATGGTAAAAGTAGATGAGCAGAGTAGAAGAAATAAAATCCAGAGGTTCTCCTGCATTGAAATCCTTTTTTTTTTTTCATCTAACGGGGAATACTTCTCCCACTGCTAAATTCTTCTGAAAATCCCACATGAGTTTGTTGGTGAGTGCAAATATGCTGTGATTTTAATAGTTAGGGGAAAGAGCTGCTACAGAGAAATCAGTGCACCCTGAAGGAGAAAGCAAATTTCTGTTGCACATAGTTCTGCCACAGGAGGGATTACAGGGGGATGATTTCCCCAGTCAGACAGGAGGAGAAATAGCTGGCAGAGGAAGTCCAATGGAAAGTAAATTGGATAAGAAAGGCAGGACAAAACATTGTTAATGGAAAATGGACTGGGGCTCAGGGGAAAACTAGAAGAATAATTTGTTTATGGGAGGCATTTTAATTCTATAGTAACAGATGACAGCAAAATGAATTTGGAAGGAGAAAGTAACTTCATGGAGACACAAGTCTCAGCACGAGGGGAAACCAGTGATTTCCACAAAGAGAACACATGGTGTAAAAGCTGAAGAAATGAGCAGCGGGATGCATTTGAGAAGAGGAAAATCAAATGGAAAAAGGGAGGAATAATGATGTAAAACCAAATTAAAAGAAAACAAGACAAAAAAGAATAAAGATAGAATGAGACAATATGAAGAAATAATACAGAAGGGACAAGAAGAGTAGAAATAATCTTACAGTCCTTGCATAGGTAGAACTTCTTTTTAAATGTCCTTTCTTTGGAAATAACCATAATTTTTTGCCTTTAAAATAACTAGCACTTGTTACTGGTTAGGGATAAAGGGATGATGATGAGATAAAAGGTACAAGCTATAAAGAAGACAATCCGGGGGGGGGTGGGGGGAGGAAGGAAATAAAATAAAAAGAAAGGGAAATAAAAAAAAAAAAGAAAGGAAATGCACATTATTTAAGACTAAGAAATATGTTAAAGAAAAAATACAAAAACATAAAGAAAATATTTCTAGAATGAAAAGTGGAAGGAATGAAAGCAAGGAACATGGAACGCTAAAGTTATTGAAGACCAGTTCTTATCTCTTTCTCACTGTACTTTAGTAATTTCTAAAAGAAAGGGAAATAAAAAAAAAAAAGAAAGGAAATGCACATTATTTAAGACTAAGAAATATGTTAAAGAAAAAATACAAAAACATAAAGAAAATATTTCTAGAATGAAAAGTGGAAGGAATGAAAGCAAGGAACATGGAACGCTAAAGTTATTGAAGACCAGTTCTTATCTCTTTCTCACTGTACTTTAGTAATTTCTCTGATTTGAGGCAACCTCTTGTAAAAAGAGTTACTCTCTTTGCAGTGAGTGTGCAGAATCTTGTCCCAGAAAATTATTTCATGAAGTTGTGTTGCTCTATGCAATTTGATTAACTGAGTAAGCTGCTTGAATATGCCTAGTTTTTAATGAACTTTGCTAAGTTTAGCAACAATTTCTGGAATATGGCAAATCTCTGCCAGGGTACTCAACTCTGGGACCTCTGCTGGAGGTGTGGGCTGCAGCTTTGTCATGAACAAGGAAAAGGAAACAACAATATTCCTGTCTTAGGAAGGATAGAGCAATCAAAGACATGTTCAGGAGACCACAAGTTGTTTCTTGGTGCCCTCATGCCTATGGATTTCTTTCAGAACCACTGACCCATTGCATGCCTCATCCCAATAAAAGAATTTGAATGGGCTTTCAGACACTGGATTTCAATTGTAGTCCTGTCATACAAAGTTCTGCAGCCAGCATGGGAGCTGGGATACTAAGAAAGCTCTGTTCAATTATGGGCCACAGACCTGACAAAGAGGTGCTACTGTCTTTCAGGGATCTGCATCCAGAAGCTGAACAGATTCTGCAAAGGAGCAAAACAGGAATGACTTTCTGTCTATTTATTTCCCCATGTGCAGTCACAGTTGTTTACAAAGGGGTTTTTAGTCACCTTAAACAATTTTCAAATTCATACTATATCAGATTCATAGTATTTGTCCAAAAATTATCACTGGTTTATCACCGCGACCCAAAAGTTATAAAACATCCTGTCTGACTTG